TGATACGCTTCAAAAAATATTATCAGTGTCCTGATAAAATATCTGTTAAATGTAAATAATTTCCAAAAATCCCTTTGACATGATTTTAATATTTACATATGTTAAATATCAAAACATATAAATTAAATATCTCCTAAAAACGGACTCTGCCTCTACTTCCTGCTGCAGCCTCCTGGTGTCAGCTCCGCGAACACAACCCAAGATCGATGCAGCGGATTTAAACACGACATATTATCACATCGCTCAGAACTGAACATGAAGTCAAATCCCTGAAGTTTTTGTTCATTGGTTTTAATTTAACTTCAGAAATGTGTGAATACTGACTGTGACACTTGATGTAATCTCCGCCCTGTTAATCGATGGAGCCGCAGATATTGACAGTCCGTGAACTAATAGGACGCCTCTTGCCAACAGTTATGAAGTGAATTGCTTTCCCACCGACGGACTAAGCAAACAGTATCGAGTTTGTTTATTATATCAGGAGCCATTAATTTTCTGCCAGCTTTATATTGAATATGTTATCAGAGAGCTGGCAAGCGACTGCGAGCAAAGACAAAATAAGCCAATTTAATAGTGTTTGGCAGGACGAGTCAGATTTCACTCCTGTCTGCTCGCTGACTCTTTTTTGTCTGACTGTGAATCTCAAAAATAAATTGGTTCAACCTCATTCTCCGGAAGGTGTTTGCACGTGTACTCAAATTTTATCTCCCGTGCCTCCATTAGTGCTTCCTGGTGCAGAACTGCTTCTTTGCGTCGGATAATTTTCTATTTTCTGACAAGGAAGCTCATGTTCTGGTAACATGTTCTGTTTCTGCTCGGTTTTAAACAACAGTCACGTGCACGCTCCTGGAGTTAAATGCCAACATTTCAAGAAATAGGTTAAGTGATGTGTAACATGCAGATTTCTGTGTTTTGTTTTGACTGCAGAGATTAGTCGTCACTTTAAGAGTCACAACATTTGCTTTGACATTCTTCTCTTGGATGAATGCTAACGACTCAGTTTCACCGTGGTATTTATTCCAGCCTCCTGCACATGTGAATGAGTCCTTAACAATTTGTTCAATTAGAAACACAGAGAGGCTGAATGGGGCTTAAATATAAATATGTCTTGAATTGTTAATCACATGCAAACCTGGAGACTGAATCAATTTAGAACCTCTTATAAATAAACGATGTATATTATATATAATCAGGTCAAGATCAGAAGAAAACAAATCTTAATTGTTGCTGTAACATCAAGGTTTGTATTCTCTTTGCCTTTCTGTGCTTTTAAAAGAATAAATGATTGAAAACTTGGAAACTTGTGTAAAAAAAAAAAACATCAAATAAAGTGAAAAAACTGGTGCAGGAACGTTAATGGCTATTTATGCTCAAATGGCTAAAAGCTCAATTCAAGCAGAACAGGTGCAGCGTTAGTGTCCAGACCATCTCCAGAAAGCAGAGAAAAAGAGGAAATTAGTGTATTCATTGGAGCCAGAGCAGATAAACCCAGTGTCGACTGCAGAGTCATTTAACCTGCGAGTGAACGATGAGTGTGTCCAATTGTAGGTTTCTACCAGTGGAAAAGTGGTTTTATTGATTCATTACATTTCACCAACAGACTGTTCTCTGCCTTTGCAGGAGTGTATTTAGCTTTTTATTCAAATATATTACTGTTTGCATCAAAATGTAAATGTTTCAACATTTTCTCCATTGACTCTCTGTAAGAAGGTCACTGGTTCAATCCCTGGCCTCTTGAATCTCCGTTAAGCGTCCTTGGACTTATTGAAAATGCCGCATTTAGTAGTAATGTTTGAATGTGTGGTTGATAAGAAAAGTCAATATAAATACTTTCTATTTACCGCATGGGTTCGGTTTTTGTGCCGTGACCCTTTGAACCGTTTCCATTACATCGTCCTATTCTGAGACGTTGAGGTGCGAGAGATTCCTCCGGAGCAGAGGGTAAGACGGTCAGGCAGCGTATGGCGGCAGCGTGTGCGACTCAGAAGATCAGCACGGATCGTGAATTATGAGATGGAAAGTTACGTAGCTCTACTGTCAGTGAGGCTGTTTTCTTTAATAATTCCCAGTGATCAGCATGAAAGTTCTCTGAATGAGGTCGCGAGCTTCTGCAAAGTTCGGACTCTCGAAACATCCCATTAACAAACATGTGATGCAGTTTGCAGACGCGGCTTTGATGAATAAAGATCTGATCTAACACAAAATCCCTCACATACAAAGTTTGGCCCCTCTTTTCCCAGATTTTTTTTTTTTGCTGACACGCTTCAACCAAAGTTGAATGTGTGAGAATTACCGAGGATCGTTTTATCATCTATCATGACTGGAAACTGTCTGGTCCCCCCCACTCAGCTCTTGTGTTGGAAAATGGAAAATGGATGTCAGCATATCACTTGTTTCCAGCTGCCACGGCGACCCCTCACTTCAAAACATAAAAGGTTTCCCTTTTAGTTGAGCTGCCTCTTCTGTCGCTTTCGCTTTGGGAACAGAGCGGGCGCCAAAATATTAATACTGACTGTGAAGATCGTTGTAGTGTGCAAAGCAATCTTCTGCTGCAGAAATAAATAATAAACAGAGGCCGGGGATTCTGTCCGTCTACGAGTCTGCATGTGTGTACAGTGTAATAAATCTGTGAGGGGAAGAAAAATCCAACATGTATGTTTCGAGCACAGTAGCTAAAGGCGGAGCTGAAGAACTGAAACTTTAATCCTAATGACTTAAACAGAAACTTACCTGTTGCACCAGTTGTCGTATTCAGTCGTCCCGTAATCACAATAATCAAAACTCATTGTACTTTTGTTTTCTTACTCCAGCATTCTCCAGAGTCACCAGCAGGTGGCGGGGTTCACGGTGCAGCGCGCGGCAGGCGTACAAACACCGTGAGAGGCCGAGGTTCGATCCCTGAGGATGTTGTGCGGAAAGATTTAATATATTTTGTGAATTCTCAAATGCACAAAATGACGACATTCCCTTAAAAACAAAATCCAGTTGCAATTATTCTGAGCTGATCATAAGATTTTACCTTATTCCTGCAGAACAATAATATCCTGTGTGATATAGAGCTTGCTTTGTCAAATTAGCTTCGTATAAATGTGATTTCCTGCAGACAGAGTTGTAACAGGCTTATATGAGCCCTCGGTTTCAGTGGTTTCAGAAAGAATAGCTGGCTGTTCAGGAAATAAAGCGATTTTTAATCTGACTATGATTCTGACCAAAGTCAAATAAAGGATGATCTGACAAAGAATTTGTCGACGACTGTTGAGCAACGTAATTTGCTCTAAAAGCAAAGACATAACCCAGCTGTAAAGTGCCCCCCCACCCATCTCCACCCCCATTAAAGAGGTGTAAAGCTCCAACGAAATGGGCAGTTATCCAGATGCACACACACTCTTGTTGCTGCATGTGTGTGTGTGTGTGTGTGTGTGTGTGTCAGAGGACTATTTTAAGCATAGATCTTACGGAATGAGGTCATTTTAATGAAAAATACATTTGGGTTTAAGGGTTAAGACCTGGCTTCAGTTAGTCTGAGGTTTAGGTCAGAGTTAGGATACGGTTAGATGATTCTTTTTAAAACCAGATCTGGTTCGTTCAGAGGTGAAAATTTGACGGCGTGTTTCTTTTTCTTCGTTGCAGTTCTTATTATCGCTCTTCAACATCTATCAACTCCAACGTGATCTGCTGAGTAACACTCGCCTGAAGTCAACGGAGACGCCAGAGAATTTGTAGATAAGTTGACCACAAACCCGGAAGACACACAGCACCAGCATAGAAACTCGACCACCAGCGACTCACTAATACACAGCTACGCACAACTACGAATACTCGACCCCTACTCTCAACGCAGAAGCACGAATGAGCCTTTGGTGAAGACAGTGAACGAGATTCTCATTAAAACCATTTTCCATTGGTTAAGACCCCCCCCCCCGGTGGCTGTCATTTCTTGGATTATAGAGTTTGCATGGGAATTGAATTGTGATGGTCAAGGTTAGAGTGAGGGGGCTGGGTAATGCAAGACATAAATACAAGTGTGTGTGTGCGTGTGTGTGCGTGTGTGTGAGTGTGTGTGTGTGTTACATTAGAGCGTCTGCTCACCTGTCAGCCTCCCACATGTGTTTCCTCTAATCTGGATGTGGCTGTGGATTAATTGGGTTTGATTGACAGCACTATTCTCCTGTTAATCCGAATCACAACCGTATGGGCGGGATGACTTGTTGACCCCGGAGAGTTTTGTGACTTCATATATTCCCACCGCAGTTCCGCCCATTTTCAACCTGACCACGTCTCAGCCAGAGCAATTAGAAAACACCGGCGTGGGCGTGCGGAGGCTTTAAGATTTGTGCAGCCACGCCGTCATCGAGCCCCCTGCAGGCCTCACCTCGACCTCGACCTCAGACGGCTGCTACAGTATCTCCGCTCTTCCCCCTCTGTTCTCTAACTCGAGCTAAACTGAGCCACGAGAGGAGCCGAGATAAGAGAAACGAGGGCGAGGAGGAGAAGCTGAGAGAGAGAGAGAGAGAGGGAGGTGAGGGATGGAGGGAATCCGTGTCTGGCTGATGTGACATACTTTACAGTAATCAGAGTTAGAGGAGTAAATAACAACAGAGGAGAGAGAGAGAGTGAGAGAGCAGCCAAGTGGCAGTGAGCAGAGGATGGATATACAGATGAGGCAGAGGCGGGGGGGAGGGAGAAAGGACGGATGAGGGAGGAGGAGCTCTGGTGCGCCTTACTTTTTTTGCATGAGTGGTTTCAATCGGGGGGACAAATGCGTGATGCATGAGGTGATGACGAGTATTCAGGAAAATTATGACCGTGTGCTGCTCCCAAAAGAAGGAATGTGAGCTGGATGAAAACGCTCACCACCGCCTCGGCTGCGTCCGACCAGAGGAGCCAGAGCTCCTCCCGATGGCAGCCTCCGGCCCTGCAGCGCTCAGTGACGTGCAGGAACCAGTGTGTCACTTACAGTAATGTGAAATTCAGGCCAGCAGCAGCAGCAGATTGACGGGAAAACGTGTGTCACTGTGGGCCGGGTGCTCCTCGTACCAGTGAGAAGATAGAATCTTATCAGACACAGACGCTGCATCGCTGTGTTCTCCTGAAGTTACAGAACCGCTGATGAGGGAAACTCAGTCAATCAGGCAAATGATGAAACTGTGATAATAAGACATTAAACAAACTGTAAAAGAGTTTTGCACATATTCAAACATGCTATATTTATACCATAAACAGGACGGTGCAAGGTTGTTAATAAAGATGGACGACATTGACAGCTTCCTAACGCATCTCTATCACCACCTGGTGGCTGGCTGGGTCATAAACCCAGCCAGCCACTGACCGTAGGTGTGAAAATCAGCTAAGATACTTCTCTGTACGTCGGCTCTGAGATGAGATGGAGGCCTGACCTGGCTGCAACCCGCCTCAGCTCTATCTGCCCCCATGACCCTCACAAGATAAGGGGTACAGATAACGAAGGGATGGATGGACACATGAACGTCTTTGAGATAGGACAGTTCAGAAACGCAGCCTCCAACAGACGAGACCCAGCAACGATTCAACAATTACATTCTGTCCATTATACTTCCCGACAACGATCTTTGATGCTGATGAAGCGCCTGATGCCGTTTACTTCAGAGCACCAATCAGGCTTCATTTGAATTTCCGTGAGAATCTCTGTGTGAAGCTGACTCACTCTCTCAGAAAGGCTACTCAGGGAAATAATGAATACTGGTTAGAGTATCAGGGCCGACCTGCAATCAGCCTTCACTGAAATACCACTCCAATTAAACCGTGTGACGGCGCTCTGCGCCTCAGATAAGGTGCCGTCTGCTGCCGCTGGAACCAGAAAAAAGCAGAGATGCCAGGAGAGATGTGAGACCTCTCTTAGGGGGCGCTAATGCGTGATTGGATCTGTGGAGAAAAATACCCACACGTTGGAAAGAGGGAGATATGAATATGAAAATGTGTTTTCTTTTGGTTCGCTGACGAAACGGTGCAATAACGGCGAGAACACAATACAGTTAATTCCACAGCCGCTCTCTCTATCCTTCACTCTTTGTCTCGGGGTTTGCGGGTGACTCAGAATATTCTCGGTTGGATCGTTGATACTTTCATCTCCCTGCAGCTTTCCAGAAGCTTCGGAGGATTGTGGTACCTGATGATGCAAGCCCTGGCAGGCAGGAATGGAGGCTGTGAGAATCCCCACTGGAATGTGAGAGTGTGAGTGCGGCGTTCAGTGTTGACTTAATTCTGGTGTCGGGCTTCTTAGCAGTCGCAGGGAGACAGGACGGTCTTATTGTGATGAACTGGCCGCCTGCTCTTTTCTGTGTCCGTCGCTGTTTCCTCTCCAGCGTGATGAATGCCGTCCAATTCGTCATCCAGAAATGTTCTTGGACGCAGCTACTCCCACATCTCCAGCTCACACCATCAATGTTGACCAAGCTGGCGTCGTTGCATTTCCCTGCCAAAGCATTTCCTGTGGCCCCACTGTGTTGGGATGTTGCATATCGGCACGCGCACAGAACGTCCACGCTGTTTATACTTTCTGCTTTCGCCGCTGCCATGTGCTTCACAGCTCAGAAACACAGATAAGATCAAGAGCTGGCAAACAACTGAGGGACACATTTTTTGGGGGTTTTGGATTTTTATCAGACTTGTTGAGTTCTCAAGTCTTTAACTGACTTCAGAGTAAATCTTGAATCTTGAGATGAAATCCAAATCAAGTGTCGACGAGATAATGAGGAGCTTCTTCAACTGTCCAGCTGCCTGTCTCTAGATTCAGAGACATATTCATATTTATAGTTTTAATTGGAGTTATTTCTTATTTATGTTTATATGCTCTAATGTTCAGATTATATACACGAAGACGTATGATGAGCACAGGAAATCCCTGCACTGCTTACTTCTTCACTATTCTCATGCTGCATTGATGTTGTATTTATTAGTGTTTGTGTCTCTTCATCAGATTTTAATATTAAATATTTACTTAAAATATTCATATTATTTATGACGTATTGTAAGGTGTACTCAGACTGTCCGCCGCTGCAGCTCCTCTTTTCAGCCTCTGTCTGAAACACTTGGTTTTAGCTCTTGTTTCTTTAAGATAGAGGAAGTAAACTTT